TGGCCAACGCGCCGGCGCAGCCCCCCAACCAGCTCCTAGGAGAGCTCTCCTCAGGTAACAGCCGGCGTCGCGGCACGGGCTCTGCCTGGCGATGGCTTTTGGGTGGAGAAGGGGGAATCCCGGCGGAGCTCGCTGTGCTTTGAGGCGTGTCCCTCCTGCTGTGGGTTGGGGTTTTTTTTTTTTTTTTTTTTTTAAAAAGGAATGAGTTAAGGCTGGTTACAAAAGCTTATGTATCCAATTTTTCTCACATGGAGAAAACCAACTGCAATTAATGGGTGTGTGACTACTACTTAACGGAACAGCGAGGAGGGCTTGAAATCAAGCTGGGGGGGGCTGGGTGCCGGTGCTATCCCTCTCCTTCTGTCTCCCTAGGTGGCCCCTTGCCTGGTGACATGGCACAGGGACACGTCAAATCACCGATTTTGCCTTCTGGAAATGTACCCCTGGCTTCTTTCCTGGGACCGGTGGGAGTAGATCGGGAAAATTCGGTGCTGGGGACGCAAGTGCCTCAGCTCACCCCTCCCGCCATCACCCCCCCGGCTCTGCAGGGTCTCACCACCTCCATTTTGGGATCTGTCATCAGCGGCCTCCAAAAACCAAAGCAGAGCGAAAACGGACCTCCCCCCTCGGGGGTAAGGTCCCCTCGCTCCGGGACAAGCCTGTGGCACCTCGGGGGGGGGCTCCGTGCTGTCACCAAACACCCCCCGATGTAGTTTTGGGGTTGGTTTCTCTGCCTGAGCCCCCCGAGGAGCCATCTGAGCCCCCCGAGTGTTTCTCCCGCAGGTCTCGCTCCTGGGGGAGCCCCCCAAAGATTTCAAGATTCCTCTCAACCCCTACCTGAACCTGCACAGCCTCTTGCCGGCAAACAGCCTGGGCGGTGAGCGCGATCTGCTCCCCTTTTCCCCCACCCCAACTTGGGGACGGAGAAGGGAAATCCCCCGGGATGAAGAGCGGGGAGAAACGGGGCCGTTTTAGGCTGATTTCTTCCTTCCCTAACAATTCTCTGCTTTTTTCAGGTGCCGCTAACAAAGGGTTTAATCTGAAAGCCGGCGTTTTGGGGAGCGTCTCCAACCCCCGGATCTCCCAACCCTCCTTGGCCGATCCGCTCCTACCCTCGCCTGGGCTGGCTGGAGACGGGCACGCCTTTGGTT